CCAATCCCCACACCATTCCCTAGGGAGGGTGAGGCCCTCCATGGGGGGATCTCCGGAGTCTGTCATGTCAACCAGGGCAGGACCTAGGCCCTTCCCCATGTGTCCAGGCTGGGAGAGCATCCCTCCATGTGGAGCAGACTCCCAAGTTCATTCTTATGCCATGCAAACACTGATCTACTACCCAAGGCTCCAGAGATTGCTTCAGTGGAATTTTTATAGTGTTCATAATACTGTGTAAAAGCAAAATTGGAAAACCACCCAAACTTTCATCCAAACTTTGCTCTGCTAAGGACCACAAGGCAAGTGAAGCATGGAAATTGCTGTGTAGCCTTTGGTTTTTGGATCCTGCCTGACACTACAAAGATGGGCAGATTTCAAAGCAGTGACCAGCAAAACATTGGCTAGAGTTGCTTAGCTAAGACTATACACTTGAGAGATGGTTGCTGGTAGAGTGCTTGCTGTGTAATTATGAGGACCTAAGTTCTAACCACTAGCACGCAGTTAAATTCCGGACACAAGCTATGCATGTTTGCTATCCCAGTGCTGGGAAGAGGGAGACACAGGAGGAGTTCTGGAGCTTGCTGTCTAGCCATTCTCACCAAATTGGAAGGTTCCAGATTTAAATAAGGTAGAGAGCCATTACGGAAGACACTCGACGATGACCTCTGCCTTCTATATGCGTACATGTGGCATAGGCATAGGAATTCCCTCATATGCAGAGGAACACACACACCTATTTATATTAAATATCAATGATCAACTTAAGCTACTCTGAGAAAAAACAATGTATTTGTGTAAAGCTAATAAAAAATACAATGATAGGGATTCACAGACTAATATAACCTGATCTCTTAGAAAAGGAATAGATTATTCTTTGTTTTCTGTATATACATATAATATGTGTGTATGTGCACATACATATACATGTGTATATGGTTACATACATACACATTCACATGCGTCTCTACATATATTGTGGTAAGGTCTATATAACATTGTCTTAATTATTGCTAAGTGTGCACTGTAGTAGTGTTAAATATATTCACAGTATCTTGCAGCTATCCACAATATCTATGCCCCAGTCTATATCATCACTCCCCAAAGTGAACTCTGTACCTCCTAAACAGTAACTTTTCACCTCCACACCTCTTGTCAACCTCTATTCTACCTTCTGTGTTTGTGAATTTGCCTACTGTACACAGATCTCCTAAGTGGGATCAAATGATAGTTCTCACTTGTATCTAGCTTATTTCTTTTAGTAAATGTAGTAAGAATTCATCCCTATTATAGCACATATCAAACTTTTATGCCTTTATTACCAAATAATATTCTGCTGCATGTGTATAGCCACACTTCCTCTAGCTCCTGGTAGGCTGACGTCAGTTTCCAAGTGACAGTGGGATTTCTGGGAGCAGAAAGTTGTTCAGTCTTTTGGAAAAGAGCCCCAAATGTACATTGCTAACTTCTCAGTTACAGAGCTGATTCTGAAGCAAGGACCACAAAGGGAGGGGCCTGATCTCATGCTGTTTTGAGTTTGCATAGCTTGGTACACATGTTCTAAGAACTTCAGCTCAACAGCTTCCTAGAAACTGGATCAAAGCACCGCATAGTCCATGGACTCTGATGGTAAAGTCTCATTGCCACAACTTACTGTTGCTGTGTTTCCGGAGGACTTCTATAGAGACTGAGAAAGGAGACAGCTTTGTAGGTGACGACAAGGAGAAGCTGATACTTAGAGACTCCCCAGCTCCTTTCCCTCTCTACTGAAGGGGATGCATCAAAATATTCCTTTGGGTGTGGATAGAACTTGTTAGCGCTCATAGGTGATGAAAAGTATGTCTGGGGAGAAAGGACGTTTTTCATTTAGTAAAATTTAGGCAGCTGTCACAACAATTTCCTGGGATCTGTAAGAAATTCTTGATTGAAATGGAGGCAACACTTATTATGAATTGGTAAAGAGACTGAAAGCTTGCTGTTTGTAGATCTGTGACAGAAAATGTAGTTGAGGCTGGGCACGAAGTGTGCTAATTCAGGTGGTATTTATTTGAGACAAGATGTGTGTGTGTGTGTGTGTGTATGCAAATATTATTTTGTAACATACTAAGGTAGTCAAGAGTTTTTGGAATACTAATATAAGTGAGTCTCCCTGTTTAACATCATTATGAAAAATATGCAAACACCTAGAAAATGTGAATTGCTTATTCAAAACCATAAAAATACACGTATTTAAAATCCTCATCTATAATGCAATTATATTATCAAGGACTTCTAATTTAAAAATATTTTGGGTCATATAGATGAATGTACATAAAGGGCGACATGTTTGTATTTTGTACGGTTTTTCTTAGAGAAAATTTCTTCATGAATTTTTTTGGGGAGGTTAAATTCCAAACATTGAAGTGATTTCGTAAGGAGTTTTCAAATTCCATTTACAAGAGGACTTTACCCATGACCAGCCCTGGCAGGTCACCAGTGTGTGCCTGTCCTCTTTCTCCCTGAACTAGTCAATAACATGTTTCTTTTGCTGGGTGCAGGTGCACACGTGCTGTAGCTGGTTGCAAATGTACTAGGCAGTACTCACTATTATTCCAGCTGTACTCTGGCACCAAACTCCACTTTGCTTCTTATTTGCATGAAATTTCTTAGGTGATTCTAGCTGAAATGTCAAACTGGCCTCTTGGAATGTTACTGTTCTACTCTAGTGCATCTTTCTGGGACTTGGAAAAGACGCTGCTTAGTAAAAGTCCCCACACCTTTCAATACTTGGCTACTTTGCCTTAGATTCTTCGGACTGCGCAAATCAAATTCCATAAGAGCGTAAACAGTGGCAGCTTTACTTTTGACAGTTCTAGATGCTGGAAAGTGCAAGATCAAAGAGCCAGCAGTGATGTCAGGAGGCAATCTGTTTTCTGATTCAGGGATGGTGTCTTCTTTGCCTGTAAAAGAAGTGTCCATGAGACCTAGTCACAAAGTTTCATCCCTCAGTATATAAATAGTGACTGTTAGAATTTCAACATATAAATTGAGGGAGGCCATAAATATTCATGTTGAATGAAGAATGAATCCTTACACCAAGTGAAATGAGAAAACCAAAGCTTGGATTAACACAAATACTTCATAATTCTTTCCTCTAATAGACTTTGACAGCTGTCAACTAAATTTATGTTTTTGTGATTTATTCAACCTTTTTTTTTTGTTTTTCAAGACAGGGTTTCTCTGTGGCTTTGGAGGCTGAACTAGCTCTTGTAGACCAGGTTGGTCTTAAACTCAGAGATTCACCTGCTTCTGCCTCTGGAGTTCTGGAACTAAAGGGATGTTCCACTTCCACCCGGTGATTCATTCAACTTTTTATATTCATGATTTCTTAGTTGTATTTCTGGATTCAAAGCTAATAGTCAGAGAAATAATATCCTGTATAGTATATTATTCTCATATGTCTGCCCAGTTACTAAACCTGACATAGTGACACATTAAAAAAATTCACAATCTGATTACATATTACACTGTCAGTTCATGTTAGTAATGGTACTATTCTCATGCACTGCAGACATTAACTCATTAAATCAGGTACTATGATTATCTCTTAGCATGAGGAGCATGGGGTATAGAGAAGTCATATAATTGTGCAGTTATCCAGCTGTCAATTTGTTAAACCTGGTCCTCAACTCAGGTGATTCAGAATTTTCTCTTAGGAACTTTGCTATTCTGAAGAGATGTCAATTTTATCTGATAGTGTGGTGGGCATTTAGGATGAGAGAAGTAAACAATTTGAGGATATAACCAGAGGAGTTCCCAGCAGTGAAGGGCAACTATACTCCATTGTCACAAGGTTTGAGTATGCACATCCCTTACCACAGGCCCCGATAGTAACTCAACTTTTGACAGTGTCTTCTTTTTTAAGATGGCATGCAGATACTGTTCTCCAAGTCTCATTTGACAGAGAAGTAAGTCACTGTCTCCTACAAACTCATAACTGGATTTGAATCCAGTGAAGACTGCTAGTTTGTTCACAAGATGGACCTGCCTGTCTCCCACTCATCTGGTCCTTTGGGAAGTGACTTCTGTAGCACAGATAATAAAAACGCAGAGATAGATATTGGGGTTCAGGGTGAAACCCTGATGGATGCAAAACAGCCATCCAGTAGCTCTTACCTCTACCAAGACCTGGGGAGATTCTGTCCTCACTGTAACTGGAAATTAAATCTCAAAATACATCACGAGATACTGTGCTCCTGTCTTTTATATACCTCTCTAGTGCTGGGATCAAAGGTGTGAGCTCCGTTTCTCGTTTAGACTGATTCACTCTTGTGTAGCCCTGCGTGGCCTTGAACTCACAGAGATCCATCTGCCTCTGTCTCCTGAGTCCTGGAATTAAAGGTGTGTGTCAGTCACCTCTGCTCACTTCTGTGACTGTGGCTACATTTGCAATCTGATGCTTCAGGCCAGCTTTATTAGATAATAAATGTGTTACCACAGGCTTCTTCTTCTTTCCCTGATCCGTGCATCTGTAGCAGCGGTCTTCTTGCTTCTAGCCAATGGTCATCCATCTTCATCTCTGACTGTTCAGGTATCCTTTCCCATTCTCTGTGAATTTCCAAAGCTCTTTCTATCTTTTGTATTTTTTTATTATTCTGATTCTCTCTTTTACCAGCGTATACTGAACCACCTTACCTAGAAATTCAAAACAAGGCATTGAAGATAGTGTTAAAATAATAAAATGAAGAAAAGTCAGGGGTGCTATGACCGTGCCAGTGGGGGACGGTCAACATAGACCGGGGACACCTAGGAGAAAATGAAGGATGGGGATACAGAAAAGGACGGCAGGACACGATTCTGATCAAGCTGACAACCTTTATTCATCCCAAAGGGATTTATATAGGGGAAGTGAGGAGGGGAGGGAATGGGGGTGTTAACTGCAGCTTCGATGAGCCTGGCAGAGCAGAGGTCAGTGGGAGGGTTAGGCCATCCTGTGTCACCTGGCAACCTAACTGCAGGTTCTAATTCTATCTCTCATAATCTTACCCTCTATTGTTCAGGCCTATAGCCCGAGTGACTTGGTAAGTTACACTAGGCTTAATCTTTAACTGGCAGATAAGCCACAAGTCTGTTTGCTTCCTGTCTTAAGAGGTGGTATTTCTTCGGTATGGCCTGGAGTCACATCTTCTCTATGAGGAGGACATGAAAATGCTAGGGCTGGATTATGGCAGAGGTCCCTGACAGTGCTACAGCATGTTGTTGTGTTAAAGAGATTTCCATAGAGCATTCTGTGTGGGAAAGAGAGACCATAGATATGATAATAGACCTGAACAATTTGAAGGGATACAGATGTATTTGTGCTATGGAACTCACATAAAAAGCCCTGGTCTCTGTCACCATCACTGAAAAAGAGTACAAACCTACCTTTAGATATGATTCTGCTTCAGTGGTTCTGATGGAGACTGTTTTTGTGGTCAGAGTGTATTGTATGAGAGAAGAGTTAAAAAACAAAAGACTTTTCTACACAGAGAGCTCAAGGATAAGTTCAGTTGGTTAAGAACTTGCTGCAGAAGCATGAGGTCTTCATGTAAGAAGCCAGACACAACTGCAGAGCCTGTCGTTTTATTGTAGGGAAGGGAAAAGCAGGAGGATCCCTGGAGTTCATAGCTGAATTGATAAACTTCAGTATAGAGCTTGTCTCAGAAAACGTCAAGATCCAGGAGCTGGAGAAATGGATCAGTGGATAAAGTACTTACAATGCAAGCAAAAGGACCAGAGTTCAGGTCCCCAGGATTCACAAAGCAGGCAGTGTAATCCTAGCATGCCAATGGAAAAATGAGGGGAGGAGACAAGAGACTCCAGAAGCTCATAAGGCTATCCTTGCAGATGCAACAGGAAGAAGCAAGAAACCCTGCCTCTAACAAGGTTGTCCTGTGGTCTCCACAGACACTTGTGCTTGTACTTATACACATACACAAACACAAATGTGAACATGTGCATACACAGTGCTCACAAGTGTATTCATACACATATGAAAAGACAATAAGATTGAGAAAAGTTGCAGAAGATACTCTATCAATCTTTGGTCTCCATAGGTACTTACACACACACACATTCTCTCTCTCTCTCTCTCTCTCTCTCTCTCTCTCTCTCTCTCTCTCTCTCTCTCTTCTGTGACCTACTTTAATTATAAAACTTCATGGAAGAAAGGGGCTTTCACAACAGTTTTATTCAACCTCAAGAAGTTGATTCCTTACAAAAACAATCACTAAGTTTTCATCTATGATTTATTATATGAAAGGACGAACATGGCAGACACCTGGTTTCTTATGCTAGCCCCAAGGAAAATTATGAGGCTGTAGCATTTTTTGAAGAAATAATTCAAGGCTTAGGTAATGAAAGAATTATTATATACAGGATTATTGCAAAACAAGTTGCAGGAGGTTGGGACGATTGCAATAGAGATGTGGCAGACCCTACCCTATGAGCTGCAAACAAACATCCAAACATCTGAGAGGCAGGAAAGAGGTGTTCTCTTAGACAGCAGAGAGAGCCAGCCTATGGAAAGTCCTCATGTCAAGGAGGAGGATTCTCTGTGGGAGTATTGGCTGAGATTGAGAGTGGGTGAAAGTTCAGTCATGTGATGAGGGCAATATTAACTGAAGTTGGTCAAGTTGACTAACACAGACTTTGTTCTTACAGATCGATGAGGATGAACAGTTTAGAAATAAACAGAGCCATAGAGAACTTTGTGCAGGAACATAGACCGGGTAGCAGTCTGTTAGGGATAGGGGAACATTTTACCTGAGTTGAGTTTATTTTGGTGGAAGCTGTTGGGGGGAAGGGGTGCTGTATGCTGAGCAGGGGTAAGTAGAGAAATTTGATCTGTTTAGTTAACAATTACTTTCTGGTTGATTAATGAGTTCAGCTCATCATTTATGAAGCAAACTTTGGGATTTGGAGGGTCTGTATTTATCCCTGTCCTGGGTGAACAATGAGGGCCCATGCAAGCCCCATGTGAGATGGGGAGGATGGTCTTTCTAGTGGGCTGCTTAAAAAATTAGGTTGGAGGGATTTCTGTTTTCCTTTTCTTTTTTAAAATTAATGAAAAAATGAATAAATTTTACATCTAGACTGTAGCCTCTCCTCCTTCCTCTTTTCCCACGACCTCCCTGACTTCCATCCATCTATCCTAATCTGTATTAGGAGGATTTCTTCAACCACTCTTTTTGCTGATTCATAGTGTTTGGGTAAAATCCAGCATTGCCAATCCCTTGGAAATTGATCTGTTGAAATATATATTGGCCTTAGCCTTTTGATCTGTCTTGGTAATGAGCCCTGTGTGCTTTTCCATGAGGAGCCTAGGCTCCAGACTACTGCATCAATGGTTCCTGATGACGGCTGCATAAACATGTGCTGATTATTTTAGAGAAATGCTGATGAGACCTTTACATTATATAATTACTATGAAAGACTGTGCATTCAACTTTGGAAAAAAGCAATTACAAAGTCAAGTACATACCATGTAGTTTTGGAAATAAAAACATTCTCATGAATGCATACTTTTTTAGCATAATAATTTTATGAAAAACTGCCTATGAATCATAATAGACTAAATTTCCATAAGAAGATTAAAGGATTAAGAAACTCTGATTCATGCATACATGACTTCTATCCACTGATTAAAAATATAAAAAATAAATTTACTGTTGAAATATAAAAAACTTTGATTCAATTATTAAGAAAACCAGTGTCAAAAATGTTTAATATATCATAATTAAAAAATACAACAAAATTGCAGTATAGATTTATTATATAAGTATATATTAAATAATTCCATTTAATTGACATTTTTGTTGAAGGATGAGTATAGAGTCAGAAAATTACTGATGATTTTTTGGGTCAGAGGGTCAGATAAAGAGACAGATGGAATCAGACTGGTTTTTTTTTTTTTTTTTTTGGTTTTTACGAGACAGGGTTTCTCTGTATTGTTTTCGAGGCTGTCGGTCCAGCCCAGCCTCGAACTCACAGAGATCCGCCTGCCTCTGCCTCCTGAGTGCTGGGATTAAAGGCGTGCGCCACCACCGCCCGGCAAGGAATCAGACTTTTGGAGTGTGTGGAAATAATCTGCATTATTATTGCAGTGCTAATTAAACAAATGTAGACATTTACCAAAACCCATAAAATCACTAATTTAAAATTGGTGAGTTTTATTATACATGAATTATTGTTAATCCTTCTATATAGAAAATAAATGCATCCAGGTTAAAGAATATTTATCATCTATATATCTTTCTATCAGCTGTCTACTTACTTATCCATCCACACATCCATCCATTCATCTATCCATCTACCTATTAATCTGTTTATCTATGTGCAAAATTCTCATTCTAACACACTGTTGACCTTGGTATTGTATACTAAAGCATCATTATCTACACGGAAGAGCTCAGAAGAAACACCTTTTGTTTTTCTTTTTTTGTTGCCAGTATCAAGAAATGATATGCTCCATTTAGGTATTAAGATAGATTGATAAATAATGAGCTAGCATAGAGCCAGGTGCTTTGTGTTGGACTTAAAGGCTACTATTTCATTTACCATGACCTCATTTACCATGACCTCATTTACCATGACCTCATTTACCATGACCTCATTTACCATGTGCCAGTGACACACATAACCCATCCATCTTAATTCTTTTCAATTTGTTTCAAATCCACAAGGGTTGCTATAGAAGAAAAGTCGCTCAGTGGACTTATCAGTGAATGTTTCTCAGTGGTAGAGTACTGGCTTAGCATATCTCCCACACCCCTACCAAAAGTTACCCATATATGCTTTGAGCATAGAGTTGTTAACTTCATACACCCTTCATTTCTAGAATTGTAGGTGTTATTAAAATGATAGCAAAAACTTCAGAAATATTTTCTTTTTTAATTTTTTTATTTTTAAATTTAAATTAGAAACAAGGTTGCATCACATGTCAATTCCAGGTCCCTCTCGGTTTCCCTCCCCACCTCCCGTGCCCTCCCACCAACCCCCCCAATATCCCCTCAATTCCCTAGGGAGGGTGAGGCCCTCCATGGGGGTGTTCATAGTCTGTCATTTCATCCAGGGCAGGGCCTACACCCTCCCCTAAGAGTTCTGGGTGAGAGTGTATCTCTCATTGTTGGATGGGAGTCCAAAGTCCATTTGTATACCCGGCATAAATACTGATCTACTACCCAAGGCTCAATAGATTACCTAGGCCTCCTCACTGACACCCACATTCAGGGATCTTGATCAGTCCTATGCTGGATTCCCAGGCATCAGCCTGGGATTCAAGAGCTAACCCTTGTCAGCTCAGTTGTTTCTGGGGGTTAAACCAGCCCAGTCTTAATCCCTTTGGTCATCAGTCCTCCCTCTCTGTCACTGGATTTCTTGAGTTCAGCTCAGTGCTTAGCCATGGGAGACTGCCTCTTCTTCCATCAGCCACTGAGTGAAGATTCTGTTTCCCAGACTCTCTGGCCATGGGATTGTAGGCTGGCACTTCCCAGATCTATGTCTAAAATCCATATATGAGAGAATGCATGCCATGTTTCTCTTTTTGTGACTTGGTTACCTCACTCAGGATGGTTTCTTCTAGTGCCATCTATTTGCCTGCAAATTTCAGGATTCCATTTTTTTTCTGCTGTAATAGTACTCCATTGTGTAAGTGTACTACATTTTCTCCATCCACTCTTCAGTTGAGGGGCATCTAGGTTGCTTCCAAGTTCTAGCTATTACAAATAATGCTGCTATGAACATAGTGGAACAGACATCCTTGTTGTATGAATGGGCATCTTTTGGATATATGCCTAAGAGTAGAGTTGCTGGGTCTTGTGGTAGGGTTATTTTCATTTTTCTGAGGATTCTCCATACTGATTTCCAAAGTGACTATACAAGTTGGCACTCCCACCAGCAATGGGTGCGTGTTCACCTTTCACCACAATCTCTTCAGCATAAATTGTCATTGGTGTTTTTGATTTTAGCCATTCTCACAGGAGTGAGATGGTATCTCAGAGTTGTTTTGATTTGCATTTCCCAGATGGCTAAGGATGTTGAG